CCCGCCCCCTGCCACTCAAGCCCGCGGCCACCGGCGGCGCGCACGCGCGCACCGGCACAGACTAGCAGCGGGCCAATCGGGAGGGAGGGTCGGCCTCCCGGCCCCGCCCCTCCGCGGCCTCACACGCAAGTAGCGCACTCGGGGCCCTCCCCCACCCCTCCCTTTCAGCCAATCAGGAAACGGCTCCGAGGGAGAGCGCGAGGTTTCCTTCCCCGCGCACCCGTTCTCACCGTTAAACGGCCGCGTCTCGCGACAATCCCAAAGTGACCTTTTTTTTTTTTTTTCTTTGCTCGCCCCTTCAGGAGTTCAGCTCCAGCGGGGGGCGGCGGGCGGGACAGGGCCGGCGAGGGCGGCCGGGAGGACCAAACGCACCTTCACCAGCTTCGCGCGCATCTCCCCACCCCCCCCCCGCCGGCTGCGCGCGCACCTGCCTCCCTGAGGCGCCGCTGTTCCCCCCCAGGGCTCTCACTAGCCTAACAAATAGCCTTGGACGTTATCCCGCCGCCACCCGGACCCCCACCTTCCTGCTCTGGCCTTCCTGTCCCCAGCGCCGCCAGCTCCTGAGGGGAGAAGGGGTAAATTAATTTGAGTTGCCGCTTCTCCTTTAAGAAAAAAAGGCCCCGTCCGTTGCCGGATGAAAGTCTCTGAAAAAATGGCGGCGACGGGCTAGAGGCGGGGTTAAGGGAATAGCGCGGGATGGTCTCGAGGCGCGTGCGCAGGGCTAGTGCAGCCCACGGCATCCTGGGAAACGGAGTCTTACGGAGTCTGTGCTTCCAGGGGAAAAGATGGGGAGCTGGAGGCCGAGAGAAGTCTGGGAGTTTTTGACGGACTCACCACGGGAAATGTAGTTCTCTATGCACAGTTCGCGTTCACGTCCCAGAGAGGCACTGCTTCCGGGTTAGGTCGCGACGCCTGCGTACAACTGGCACAGGTCCTGAACCAATTACTGGTACCTGAGCCTAAACTGCTCTTTTTTACTGTTAAGCTTGGCGTTTGTGTAAGTTCTCCGAAGCGCCCTCGTCACGGCCCCTAGTTTGGTTTGGTCACTTGATGTCTCCTCTGCGACCTGCTGTCATTCCTCCATCTTGTGCTGACCCTCTCACCCGTGAGGCCCTGGAGGTCAGGGACTCGTTCTGCTGCTGCCATTTCAATCTTAATAAACCACGTAGGGACGGATTGTCAAGTTGTTTCCTGGTAGGAACCGGGCATTGAGCTGCCTGTGGTTGTGGTCCTTGAGCTGGACCTGGAGAGAGGGTTAGCGTGACTCTCAGCGATTTATGTGGGGAAGCTGGCGGTCTCGCATGCTCACCGCCCCAGTTGCATGCCTTTGCGGTCTGTAGATGCTTCGGCAGCACAGGAAGCAGAGTCAGAATAGCAGCTTTTGACTAAGCGTGTGCAACTAAGTAGTTTCCTGATGGGTAGAGGGGGGTGGGGGGTTTCCATTTGTTCAAGCCACAGCTGGTGATTCTGCGGCCTCTTGTGTTCCTTTTCCTCTTATACATTGTAGGTATTTCTTCATTTCCCTATCATACATTGTTTGCAGTCCTTAGTTTCCTTTTTATACATTGTAACCAGGGAACAACTTCCAAGGAGACTCTTTATCCCCTGAAGATGGAAACATCCCCAGTTAAGGTCTACACAAGAGGATGGAGATACAAGGTTTGGGGATCTAATTCTGAATTTTACTGTTAACATGCAGTGAAATTTATTTTTCTTTCCAGCATTTGGCTCACTTGCCCCACAGATAAGGCAAATGCTTTTTATCTGTATCGAGTCTTTGGTTCTTTCAAAGGACTAGTGTTTTCAGTTGTAAAAATCGACAGTGTCCCTAGGAACGAATTTTCAAGTTGTATTTACAGTGAGCACGTTTGGAACAGCACTGACATCCAATGGCTGCTTAAAGTAATACAAAAAAAAGAGCCCCTTAAAAAGAGAGCTTAGTAAAATGAATGACTTACTCATTTTAAGAAACAATCACTGTACTGTAGGAGAAAGATAACATACTGAAGTAAAACTGGATTATATAGTAAGTTAGTAAGGCTATCTCTTTATTCTGTTCTTTTAGCCAATTACTATTCCTTGGGCCTATTTCTCTACTGGTAAACACTGGGACAAAACCCACTTCACAGGGCCATAATTACAGTTCTTTACATACTGACTTCTCAAGATGGGCCTGTTACAAATGCTTTCTTCGTTTTGAGATGAACTAAGGCTCCGTGATAAGATAAAAAATTGACCTTCCTTATTGTTTGAAGAAATTGTTACAAGGCGATGTGAACTGAGCTGGGGTTGTGAGTAATTCAGATTTCAGTACCTAGTATCTTAAATTTGCTGGATTGACTCTTCCCTAGCCTGTAGATTTGCATTTTGGATAACTGTATAAACCAGTACTAGAGAATTCAAAAGTGAACCTACTTCTATTCAACTTTAAGGAATTTATAATCTAGGCCGGTAGATCGCTCAGCAGATAAAGGCACTTTGCGACAAGTCTGATGAGCTTCATCTGTGGGCCCCAGGTGGTAGAAGGAGAGACTTGACTCCCACAACTCACGAGTGTCCTCTCTCTCTCTCTCTCTCTCTC